CCCCAAAACCCCAAAACCCCAAAACCCCAAAACCCCGGACTGCTATTTAAAATTTGAACTATAAATCTTAAAATTCTCTTCTGTATGGCATAATGGGACCTCTTAGAGGTAACCTTGAATGAATGGGATTTTCAGGAGATTTTACCAAGTCAGAGTCTGTATAGGTCCTGGTAAGACCTGAATATGGGCATCTAAGAGATCTGTACTTATGGATCGAAGGACCTAGATCAGTTAAAAATAAGAAATACCCCTATCTTGCTCTTTTTCTCTGAGATCAGAGTTGATGTGCTCAGCACTATGATGATGGCTTATTTCTTCTTTTGATCCCTCATGTCTCCCAAAGGTAGGATTTTGATTCTTTTGTGAATTCTCTCTTTGATCAGCATCCTGTAGATTCCTTTTAAAAGGGTCCTCTCTTGTCCCAAAAATGGCAGTTCTAGAGTGATCTACTGCGACATGCTCATTCATTGAGTTATTTTTATCATTAAAGGTATTTCCTTGGTTAAAACCTGGAGGATAAGGTACTGGTCTTTCCACTAAGAAGTAAATAATCAACCGCTACCTTCTCTTTGAGTGAATGATTTTGTTACACTTCTGGTCTGCCTTCTCATAGGCTTAAATCCACTTCTTTCTCTTGCTCTATACCAATAGCCATTTGCCAGTCTTACCTTGATTTGTCCTTCATTACTGATAGCTTGATTTTACTCTTAACATTCTTGTACGGGCTTTTGTTATTTCTCTTTTTCTTGAAAAATTTATCGCTCTTATTTTTAGTAGATTCTTTGACTCTTCTTCTTTTATGCTCATATTTGCGTCTTTGCTTTAAGGCTAATTTCATATCTCTTCTGGCTAACTTTTCCACCTGAGGGTCGATCCTTGTCTGAATGCCAGATGATTTAGCTTGGCTGTTGAAGAAGTGTCCGTCTGCTATCCTGATCTCTTCATCGTCACAGATGTGGTCATAGAAGTACTCTTCATCAACATTTCGCTGGGGTAAGTTTCTCTATAAATAAGAGCTAGAGAGTACCTTGGAGTTTCTTTTTCTGGACTGTTTCCATGGATCAAAAGCTATAGCCACACCTCCTCTTGAGACCTTTACTTCTGCATTTTGAATGCATGATTTAAGCGGGCTGGTGGCACCTCTTTTGTACGGCATTTCGTGATTATACTTCATTGATCTGTCCAAAGTCGTAACAATTTGAGCTAATCTGTCTTTTTCATTACTTCTGACTCTATGATCAATAACTGCACTTAAATCTGGGCCAGCGTCTGCATTAAGTGAATGAAAATCAGGAGGTATTCTTCTATCATTCATAGGAGGAGATCTTGACTTATCTCCATAGCTATGAGATCTTGATCTCTGATGGAAGTTGCCTTCTCCACTGATTATGCCTTCCTGATCATTCTCTTGACTTCCTTCTTGAGTCGAGTATATTTCTCCTTGGTTGTTTCTTAACGATTTATGAGAATGTGTCCTTGAGTGCTGTGATCTTCTGAAATCCTCCATTCTTCTATCGCAGAAATTTCCTTGAGATTTGATGTGTCTGCTTCCTACTTAAAATCATTAGATTTTTAATTCAAACTTACTCTCTTCACAAAATTGGTCTTGAGGATATGCTCGAGAATTCTCAAGGTCATGCATGTCTTGGTGATCATCATTAATAGTGCTGCTACAAAATCTCTTGTAATACTCTGCTGTCTGGCCTAAGTATATCAGAGGAAGGCTTACATTCATTAATATATTCACGGAGACAATCCTTCACATTTATCAAGGAGTAATGGGCAATACCATTGTTGCGTTCTTGAAATACTTTGATTCCAAGCAAACATAGCTCTCTAACAATGTGGTTGATCTCTTTCTCTCTAATGGGTCTTAAGAAATCTCTTATTTTCTTGTCTCGATACAGGAAGTCTTCCATTTACCTTAAATTTGAACGATATTAGCTATATATTTAAATTTTCAATTGAAAACCAGCTAGTCGGGGTTTTGGGGTTTTGGGGTTTTGGGGTTTTGGGG